GTGGAAATCGTTCAGTGCAACAACTCGAACACGACCTGAAAGAGGGACGTGGAACATTGAAAAGCTAAGTATATTTTCAATTTATTTCAAACATATGTATTTTGTGTGTATATTTTTTCGGTATGTTATTGTAAGTCCGCTTGGGGGGCGAGTGGGGGAAGGCGATTTTGTTTTCCCCTTTTTCAGACTTTCTTCGGTTCACAAAAGGGCCACCGTGTGAAAATGCAAGACGTGTACAAGACGGCATCCGAGCAAGGGCCGCTAACATAGCTGCTGGACACTGCTCAAGATTGATAAAACGACTTGTGTTTAAAAAAAAAAGTCTTGACGAAACTCTTGTGCGTGTGACAGCGGCTATTGTGGCGGCCTGGACGACAACCACCATTGACCAACACCATCGGCCAAGTCTACAGTGATAATCGTGTGCACCGTCCCCGTTGACATAAGTGGCTAAGTAAAACAACCATCTCTAACATAATATTATAATATATATTTTATACAATTTTTAAGTGAAAAAATAATTTGCTGACAATATTTTAGCTGGTCACTGTTTGGACTACTTTTGGGAGATTACTTTTAAAGATACCAAATTTTAAACTTAAACAACCAAAATTGGTTATCGACCAGCCAACATTGTCAGCATAAATTAATCTTAAATTAAAAAAATCAATTAAATATGCACGTTACGTAATAGAAGTTGATAAAGTTTTTATTAACTGTAATTTTATAGTATTGTAAAATAACATAAACGAAAATTTTTAACTACAAAATTGCAATTATTTTAAGAAAAAATTATCTTGTCTTGTCTTTAATGAATAACCCGGTGTAATCGACCTCGCCTTTAACTTATTAAATAATATAATAATTTTATTAATTTGTATAAATACTAGACATTTACGGTTTCCATTTCAATCAACAGTAACCTAATAAGAAATCACCAAATTCAAATAAAAAAAATTTATCTAAAATTTCATAACCCTATCTTAACTTTAAGTACTTCCACTTGATTTCTATTTATAGCACTTGACTACCATGGGATGTTTAAAATTTCGTTTAAACAATTTTAACATGAAAAATAATAAAAATTATTTAAATTAAAAAAAAAATAAAGGTTAAAATCTCTTGATATTCCATGGTAACATATTTTTTTATTTTCCCGTTGAAACTGAGAATGAAATCAATGACATAATACATTTTGATGGGCTGTAATTTGATAAAAATGAATCGTTAAATTGTTATGAAGGAGTCAAGAAGTGTCACTTTTCAGCCTATTTTAAAATTGGAAAAATGTTGATTAGTTTACAAGATAGAATTTTTAAATTAAAAATTACAATTGTTCATTTTAATAATTAAATACAAGAGTTAAGCTAAAGATCTAACAATTTTAGAGATATCCATTTAATGGTGATCCAAATAACGCAAGACTAGTTTTTTTTTTAATTTTGTTTTTTTTTTTTTTAATTTTTATGTATGTTGTTTTAAGAAGTTATAAAATTGTTTAAAATTTTACCTTGTCTTAGTATTTTCCAGAGTGCTATCAACTTTTGTAACTTAAATGGTAACGTATTATGTATTTAATTGACTTTTTAAAATAAGAATACTTTGCTGCACATTTTTACTGGTCGTTTACCAGTTTTGAATAATTATTTTTTAAATTACTAGAGTTTAAAACTTGGGGCAGGAGATGAGTGCGGTTGAGTAACTTGATACAAATAATACAAGGAAATAGTAAATGCAAATAATAATACCGCTCTTACGTTGTTACCACGCAGGTAGTTTATATTTAGAAATTCATTGAGTTTATATTAAAATAAAAGGAAGAGAGAGCAATGTCAGTACTATGCAATTCAAGTCGAGCTTGCCCGTCGCTAAAATATATTCTACGTTTACTTTGACAAACTCTTGCCACTTGTGTAGGCTCCATTTCCATTAAACCTAAACTCACCCGAGGCCACTTACAAAATATAATTTATTAATACCTTTCCCTTGACCTTTCCTCTCAATAACATCGTGTAGTACCGTCGCTCTAATAAAGAGGGTCTATATCAAAAGCCTCGGAGAACGTCCATTGGCATTTCTTGTATAAATACTGATTTCTGTATTATACTTACTTGATGTCCCTTTTCCCACTCGAGGCACCAGTCGCTGTTTACTGAGAAGTCTTTGTGTTTATAATATTATAGCAGTAGAGTTGCACAGCTCAATACACAGCTTTATGCTAGTTAAAAACAAAAAATGTAAATACATAAACTTGGTCCTCCTCAAAACGATCCACAGAGATAGGAAATATTTAATATGTCTATTTGAATCTCAATTCGCAACAAATTCACCATATTCCTTGTTAAATGGTTAAAATTTAGTTTAGGTTAAGTATAATTTAATTGTTCAGCCTAGTAACTTTTATTTTGTTTTTTATAATAACTAATGATTTATTTGACTAAATTTATCTTCTGAAAATCTATATTAAATGAACAATAAGTAAGAATAATTATTAATTATTATAAAACTAAAAAAATTGGAGTAATTAATAAAACGTTTTTTTTTTTTTAAATAAATTTAAACCTAAACAGAATAATATTATAATTTTTAAATATTTTATTAGGATATTTAATAATAATTTGAAAAATAATTTTAAATAATTTTTTTTAAAGAGAATCACATAGAGCATAAAAAAAGTTAATTTTTAATAGTATAGTAAAAAATGTATTCAAACGGTACAAAAATTAAATTAAAATTATTTTCACGATATTTTTATTTTTTGTATTTATTTTAATATCACACATAACGTTTCCTACAATATTTCCTAAATATTGTAATCATGATGATTACACAAACATTTTTTTCTTCAAATATATTGAACAAATATTGCACTTGACATTTCTTTCTCCGAACATTAAACTAAAAATATTTAGAAAATACATTTGATAAATTAAATGTTTTTATAATTGTATAACAATTCAACTTTAACTTGTAACTTAACTAGTAGTATTTTGTTAATATAACTGTGTTAATACATTTTTAAACTATTAGTTTCACGAGCTATATTTGATTTTATTTTGTTATGGGCAGAACTCCGATACAAATTATTAAATTAATATTATGTTATTCTACATGTTCTTATTTTTGTGTAAAAAAAACCAGTTTTTTTTTTAAATTATTATTATTGTACCTATTAATGTTGCTGTGGTTATTATTTATTTAAACTTTTGTTATTCAAATTGTACAGTATTAAATTAGATTTATTTGTCCCAATGCGGCTCAATTTTATTTTTGTGCCAAACTTGTTTAATTTTTAAACATAAAACAAATGTATACAATCTGAAAATAGTTTTACTATTTTTGACTGGTCGACTATTGTTTAGGGTAGTGTATTTAAAAAACAAAAATTGTTATTGAAAACAGCTACAAATTACATTTTATCTGGAAATAAATTATAAACAAAGTCATTTCCGTTGTGTCGTCCACTCGCCTTGACGGGCGTTCTTCAATAAAAAAAAAAAACAATTAAAATTCTGAAATAATTTATGATCATGTCAACTGCAGTCGACAGATACCTATTTTGGATTATGTCAAGTGCTGTCACTGCACAACAAGAATATATTATAATTAAAGTCAAACGCTGACGTCATCACTTACATTTCAAGAAATGTCGTCGTTGAATTGTTTTTATTAAGTGTCTCCTGTCGGCTCTAATTGGACATTATTTTTTATTTTTTTTTGCTATAGAAAGAGTCGGGGTTTTTTTTAGACAGCTCGTATTATACAGAATGATCCATTTGATGCGAGACGTTTTAGTTTATGGTAATTTACAATATTTTAATTTTTACCTTTTTATGAGTAAATCCTAGAACAATAAAAACTTTTGAATCTTATATCATAATATATGTGTTTTATAAATATTTCAAATTAAGAGTGATTTGTCGGAAATGTCGACTCGTCAATGACCAGTTTTGGAATAATTATTTTTTTAAAGTATTTTAGTTTGTAATTTAGTACTGGTTGAAGAGTGAAGTGTAAGATTATTTTTACCCGCACTTATCTATCAACCGCTGCACATGTTAAAACTACAATTTGCACTTGAAAAAAACGAGTTTTTTACATTAAATGGATCACCCTGTAAACATTATGAGTTAGGTGCAGGTAAGGTAAGGTTGAACTCGTGTTGTTCATTAATGTTATGGGCTCAAACGGATCTGTGTTAAATTAATATTGCGCAATCGACACATTTTATTAATGCAACGCACGTCTGCTGGTTTAATGCAGTACATATGACGACCAATAGAAGGAATATTTCATGAAGCGGTTTTGCACTGACCTTTTCCCGCTTTTCATATTGTACCTAACTTTAAGTAGCCAACCAATTTGGAATGGTTTGAAGTCTTCAATCCTCGTCTCAACATTTTTTATAATATGTACAAAATGTGGTTTGGTTGTGAGCTATCAAAAAATATCGCCTGTACACAAATAACTTTTAAAGTCACTTTGAAATATTTCATAAAAATATCCCTTTGCATTTATACTTTTATGCTTACAAGGTTTTGATAAATTAATAAAATTCTAATTTTTGTGTCTTAAGATTAAAGTTTTTTTAAATCGTTCTAATAATTACACATCAATATTATTTACTATGTCATTTTTGTGAAAAGTTATATTCTAAGTTAATTAAAGGATGGTATAATACTCTATTCACTTTATATATTTAATTAGATCTAAATGAAAATCTATGTAGAACTTAGTTTGCAGATATTGTATTTATGTTTTTGTAGAATATTATTCAAGTCTGGCCGATTAAATCGTTTAAAGAAGTTGGCAGAATGACATTAGGTCCAGAACAAATATAAATACATACATATTTTTGTAATTTATATTCAATGCTCCAAATGAGTAGAAGGAACGGATTTGTTTTGGTCATCCGTTTGACAACGCTGTTGTCTTGCCACACAACCAACGAATAAAACGATAGTTTTTTATACGTAATTCAGTATAAAATATATATTACGTTAATATTTATAGTCTTTTGTTTCAGGCATATAAATATGTGTGAGCACAGCTCCTGTAGTGCACACAATTGTGAAATATAAGAGCACAAAGTTCACATCGTAGTACATTACAATGATAAAGTTGTAGAAGGGTTGATCGATAATGAGCGACAGTAATGCGTACAGGCTCACCGTGAAGCCCGACGTCCACAGCCTTGTCTGCAGCGAAACAAAAGTAAAATATGTTAAATATATTGTTTTCATTAGGTTGTTCCCAGGTTAGGTGAAAAAACCCCATTTGACTCACTTGTCTCGGACATATCTCCGGCATTATCACCCACAACAAGGGGCCATAACCTATTGAATAAAATATTATATAAATGAACGTGAAAGTAGGCAACAACGTGTTCTCGGTAGGTAGTAATCCGTAGGTGATGTAGGTGATGTTCATCAGGGCTAACATTACTGCCATTCCAAATCCTGAGATTACCAACAAGTATTTCTTTTCCATGTAGTTGACCAAACACGTACAAACGATAGCCATCGAAATCTAGCAAACGAATGGTACTAATTAGAGTGCTTTCGCTCTTACAGCTCATTCGTTTGATACAATGTTATATCGTATACCCCGAAAAGGTTTCGAGAGTGGAAATCAAATAAATAACGATTACTGGATAAGTCACCTCGACCATATTGATGAATCCTACTGTAGCGCTTGGGTCCCAATCATACATGTTGCCTATAATTTGTAATTGGATTCTTTGGTAGTAAATGCCGCTGAACTTGTGTAAGCACACCAAACCGATCAAAACTAATATCGGGTCTTTGAACTTTTTTCTAGTGCAGAAATCCGACAACAACGGTGTACTGTTATGACCTTCAAAGATGAACTCCTTAATGGTCAGAACGCAAAATAGTATTAGACATAAATTACGTTATTATGATATTTTATAAATTAATAATAAAAAAAAGCTAGGCCTAAACCACATCTCAATTAATCGTCAATTTTTCCTGCTGTGCCTTTTCCTAATTATTTTAACCTCACCAACTGGAAACATCCATTGACTCTCATTTCCGCCAATTCCGCATTCCTTTTTTTAGTTTTATACTATTTTCTTTTTACTCAACATTTGTATGACACACAACCTTTAACACCCCTTTCCAAATGGTCCAATCACACATTATTCTATTCAACTTCTACAACATTTCCTATAACTTTTAACTTTAGTTTTTTTATTCTTCACCACTAACTGTCAAGCATTTAACTGCTTTGAACATATCATTGTCAGTAAACTCAAATTCTCTTATGTCTTCTGTTTTAGAGCGGCTCAATCTTATCCCTAACGCCTCTATCTATCACTTTATATATACTCACAAAATTGACACTAATGTGCATCTTTCCTGAGGTTACTTACTTATCAGCACGGAAAAAAAATGAGGGCCTAAAAACGCCAATAAGAAGGATACACTACTCTTACTGGGAATTTTTTTTTGTTCTGCAGCGGAATTTTCAATTATCTTTTTCACTTTGTTGAGGTTTATGTGTAGGCATCAATTTTATTAGTTATTCTTTTCGTTGTAGTTTTATTTCTAACTCTGCGATAAATTAGACTCTTTCAAAGTAACTGCTTTAACCACTCACTTGTAGTGCTAAATAGTGACTAGTCACGTGGCTGCTAAATTGTGAGCCACGATTAGTACGCATGTCATTGGAAGTTTCATACAATAATTTCGGTACACTTCCGAGACACTTATCGCACTTCAGCTGATAATAAACAGGATCTTCTATGAACACCATAGCGACCACGTTGAGAACAGCTGATACCATTATAAGGGTATTGAGGTACAACGGGATACCGAAAAAGATCAGTAGATTGGAAAATAGTACACCGGTCATAACAGCTATGTAATGGAGACATGTGAGTGTGTCTGAAAACGATAACGTTGAAAAATACATAAGTTGTTGAAATAATAGTTAATATTCTATTTATCAGGACGTATGTCACAATATTATATTAATATGTTGTTTACCTTTATAATAAAAGTACAAAAACATTTCAACTAAGGATACGGGGTTTAGTCTATCTGTTCTGTGTATACATAATATACTAGTGTTTTATTGTTTCACTGTTTATTATATTCCATTTTTTTAAAGTAAGCCATACATTCATTTTAGGCTAATTATGGATGCACGGGATTTTAATTTTAAGACGGACGATCATTTTGTTTTCAATTTTTTATTAGGGAGAGTAAATCGATAAATACAGACATTTTACTGACTTTTTTTTTGCAGTATACATTTCAATAACTTATAATACTAAAAATATGAAAAAAAATAAGATTTACAAATAATTTTACTTATTTAACGAGTAGGATTTATATCCGCAAGTATAAAACCAACAGAAAAAACCTGCCAGACCTAGTTAAACCATTGAATCATTAATAGGTTTTTTACATGTAAACTCTGCTTTAAAGTCCCCAATCTCATTTTGTGTGACACTTAAGTTTGTCCATGTGGTCTCACAACCAATCGTAAGAATGGACCTTATTATCTTTGTTCTTAACTTTGATAATGTAAAGAACGCCCTTTCCACTTTTGTTATTCTTCACTTGACCACCAGTCATTATTTGTACTCATTATCAGTAGCACACCAAGGTACTCGAACTCTTCAAGTTTCTCCTAGACTAACGCTTCCGTATCCTTAAACGATGATCCATTGTTCAATAGCTCCATTAATTTGGTCTTGCTATTTGTTCTAGTTCCGTGGTTGCTCTCGTTGTAAGTTCTAAGGAAACCCCTAAGATATTAAGTTTATCTACAAAGCCTAATATTCTTATGCTACGTTGAGTTGCGGTTGTTTCTCCGGATTTATCTTGTATAGCTCATACAGTCTTCTCAAAAGGCATATTAAACTGCAAAGGTGATAATGTATCACATTTTCTTAGTGCCGTTATACCGCCGAAAGCTTTAGATTCTATACTGTGTCCACTCAAATTTGATACTTGAATCCCTCATACACACTCACACTTATAAACGCTGCCACAAGTTTTCTCTAAGTCCATAAGCAACTGCAAGATGGACTAATGGTGAACCAGGCGGGTTATAATGTGTTAGGCTACTAAGTGTTGACTACAATTACACGGTACTTATACATTGAAAGGTTAATAAAGGTAAACGTTACGTGACTTACTGCGTATGTACAACTTAGAGATTTCCAGTGTGTAATTTGGAACGATTATGAAAATAGCTCCGGCACCAAATCCATGAAATACGCGGCCTATGATGATAGTACCCAGACACTCAGTCGTGCAGGCTATTATTGAAGAACCGACGATAATGCACCCTACGGCTATGATCAACAATTCTCTAAGGCCCTTCCGAGGGGCGTACTTTATGACCGAACGGATGCTGATGATCATGCCAAAGTACATAACGTTCATAAAGAAATCGGTGTGTCCCACGCTTACACTACTGCTCGACCATCCGAAACACATACCGACCGTAACCGAACATGAAGCCACTATGAGATTTTTCAATTCATGTGTATAAACCGGTTAGAGTATTGATGGACCGGTGGCGCCAGAGCCATACTTGAGGTGAAAAGGTGCAAAAATCAACAATGAAAAATTGGGTTTTGTTCTTCAACCCAGTGGACGGGGCTGTTAAGACAAACTGTTTCTTCGATTGTTTATAAAAGAGATTTGATTCATGAAATCCATTAAAAATATTCGCCATACCGAAATAAACTTTTGATTTTCCAAGTGTTGTAGTAATTGTTCTACTAGTGAAAATATTATATTCCTTCCTAAATCTATATAACTCATATTTTTGCCAGTTATGTACAAAACTATGATGCATGCAATAAATGACGGCGAAAAATTATATAAAAGAAAGTGAACCCTTTTGTAGCTTTTTTGGTTTTGGCGCCACATAGAATGCTACTATGATACTCACCTAAGAGCGAAGAAATGTGTGGCTGAATGTCGTACATCGGTTTATATTTTAAACGTAATTACCTTTTGGTATTATTAGTATACACGTGTTACGTATCAGAAGTATGATAACACAAAAAATATACATTTTTATTAAACGAAAATTAAATGTATGAAGTAAAAGGAACAGAAAAAAATAATGATGTTGCGAAAACAAACAACAGTTTTCAGCCAAAAACAAAAATAATAAATGTATTTATAATATAACAATCATGTATGTACATGATTGGCCAGAGACATCTTGTTCAGTCCAATTGAGCACAGCAGTGATAGTTTTTGCTGACCACCATTGAATCCTGTCCCACTGAGCGTTCCAACGATTCGAAAAAACAAACTAATACAAAATTGCAATTATTTTTAAGAGGTTCACCGAGTGTCCCACGTCGAATCAAATCGCCCTGTCAATAACGTTTTTGTCAAGACGAATCGCCAGAGTATGACGGTAATATTATATGTGATATTTTAAATAGGTTCTGTCTCGTGTCAATTACACAAAAACGTCACTGCCATTGTCCAAGGAGTTTGTTGTGACGCCTTGGTGAAATAACCTCGTTGACAACTTGTGATTTGCATGCAAAATGCATGCAACAGAACGACGGGTAATGTAATGGCGTTTGACGAGGGTCGTGGCGAGGGGTTTCCAAATAACCGTAATTGGAATTCAAAAGGGAATATAGTGCGCTCTACCACGTGCTGCACGCTTACGAATAACGTGAGTAGCTGTTCAAAGGACTCTGATCGGTTTGGGTTTTATTTTTTTTGCTGATTTAAAATTAACAGAAAACCACCGTTGGTTTGATTTGCTTTGTGTGTTTTTGAAAAAAAAGGCCCTAAAACCTTATGGTAGCACAGCTCAGTCCTGGGTCAACAATGCGGTCGGACCTTGGTCCAAGAATCGAGTGGTTCGTCGCTTCTGTTGAACGTTAGACATGGTAAAAGGGCAGGGTTCAAAGGTATCGAAAGCGGTCGGTTTGTGACGTTTTAGACCGAAAATCCTGACAAAATGTTGACAAAACGGGTTCAACATTTCAAGTTAGAAAAATATTATTTCAAAGGGTAGTGTTCAGTTGAAACTTTCTAAAGACAAACATCAACGTGCATAGTTGTACTGCTTAATATAATCAGAATGATGTACTGCGAGATGAACCAATACTCATTAACCGTTTTTTTTATTAAATATTTCAGAAGCAAGTCTATAGCTCAGAAATATTATATAAAAGATAAATTTATTACAACAAAATTTTAAAAGTTCACACCTTTCCCTTTTAAATCTGAAAAAAAACCCGAAAAATGTACAAAATTGTCTACTTAAGATTATGGTTATTTTAATAGTAGTCAAGTTAGTTCCTAATTCAAATGGAATATTTTTCAGATTTAGTACTGATGATGAAAAGTTACACTTAGACCGTATTAAATTTCCTAGTTGTATTGTGTGATTGGATTGACTTTCAAAAGATGTCAGAAAATTTTTTTTAAAAAAAATTAACCAAAATTCACCAAATTTTAAACCATTTTAACGTGATATCCAATTTACTGAAGCATTTTCTGAAATAGAGTGTGTGTCTAACAAATATGCTAAATAAGGTTTCTAGGATAATATCCATTTACAAAGGCAATATTGTGTTCATATAATTTTTTTTAGGGGAGGGGTGGGAATTTTCTTTGTATAATAACAGTTTGACTACATATGTTTAACATAACTAAACCATATACACATTTTAAGTGTATCAGAACAACAGTTTTATCTGTTGTTAAATTAAATAAATTAATACAATTTCAACTGCAAACATTACTTCCTAATCTGTGAAATTAAGAAAATATGTTCACCCCTTCGACA